GTTGTCTATGCAATATGGGTGCTGGACCCAAATTCCTGTCCTCTGAAAGAGCAGCAAGTGCTCTTAACTGCTGACCCATCTCTCTAGGCCCAAGAGGCTTCACTTCTGAAATAAATACTGTTGACAAAAAAAAGTTAAAGATGAGTGACCATAAATCAGAGATAAATTAAGGAAGGTTAGATGCTGATATTAGCACATTAGACTTTGCTAATGGACTCTAATCTTCACCTCTAAGCTTGAGTTAGAAGTTTCTCTAATGTCCCTTTAAGTCCTGTCTCATCTGAAGTGGTCCTCATAAGGAGGAAGAAGCAATCAGAGATATGGCTGGTTATTTAACTGCTTTTTATGTAGTGCTAGGGAGTGAACTCAGGGCCTCCTACCTGCTACATAAATGTTCCACTAACTGATTTCTAAGATCCTTGTTTTCTTTTTCCTTTGAGATAAGCTCTCAAAAGTTTCTCTTGCTGACCTTGAACTCATTCTGTAGTCCACGTAGGCCTTGATCAGCCTCATCAGTCTGGAGTAAGCCCCATGAGATCACATCAACAGGCCTAGAATAAGGCTGTACCAAAGGTTACTTTTTCTTGTTTTTAGCTCAGGGTGCTGACTATATGCTAAATAGCCAGTCAATAACCTGAATTAAAATAGTGTCTCTAGTGGAAAGTGACAGGGACATCTGAGTTGTCTCTAAGGGACTGGTGACTGGTTGGAGAGGCAGAGCACATATTCACATTTGTTTTCCTTTCCTTGAGACTACCTTATGAAATAATCATGTGAAAATTGGATTTACAGACCCAAAACATGTTTGAAATATTCTTTTTTATAGCTCAGATATTGTCATGCTGAACCTCCTGATTCATCCTAAAATAGCCCCTGATCACTAATCACCCATGTAGCATCCCAAGATTGCTGTCACAGAATGATCACTTGTACCTGTGACACTCAACACAAAATTGCAAAGTGTTGTTTCATGGGTGTGACCAGCTCTTCTTCACACTAACATTGCCACCTCTGCCTCAGCCAAATGAGGCTACACAGGGGCTGCAGGTGCAAGCACTCATGGCTGGGCTGCAGCACCTGTGTTTATAATTCCTCACTTCCAAAGCCTGCTGTACCCAAGCCTTCACTGTCTGCATAAGAGGAAGGCTCAGTCACCACGTATGTTTGGCTATTGTGCTTCCATTCTCTTTGTACTTGCTCCCTCCAGAAATTATTTGATTGTGGGGAAAATCTACTTATAATATCTTACCACTTACTTAGTTGGAAGAAAATGCTTGTAGAATCTACAATTTCTCTTTTGTTTTTGCTTTTGAATTTTTGAGACAGGGTCTAGATATGTAGCTCAGGCTGGCATGGAACTATGTAGTCCAGAATTTTTTTTATTCTTTGTGTCTTTCACATCATGCCAACTGATCCTACCCATCTCCCTCCTCACCCCAAAATAAAACAAAGTAAAATTTAAGAGAAAAAGAAAAGAGCAAGAAAGAAAAAAAAATGGAAGGGAAAAATCACATCACAGAAGTTGCAGTATGACACAGTGAGTCACAAAGTAAACCCCTTTATTCATGTATTTTGCATGCAGGCATTGATGGAAAAGAATCACTCTAGGTCCCTGGTCTCTGCTGTACCATGGATGGTGAACCCTCACTGGGACTCTTTCTGGACATCTCATTACTGCCCTATGTCATGGAGATCCTGCAGCCCTGGGTCCACAGGACTGAATCCCCGCCCCTGTCCCCATACTCCAGCATATCACAGATGTGGTGGATGTTGGGGTGGGCCAAAACATGACCCTGGGTCAGATCTCTCCTGTCTTCATCACTAGGGTGGGCTCTCCAGGATTGCTATGGCTAGTTCACCATTTGCAGCCATGAGCAAAGGGCATGGTCAGTTCTCTGGCTTTCAAATACTTAGCATAGGTTCTCCCACACCTACACCTTCAGGGACAGCTCTATTGTGTTGCCCAGGCATGGTGTAAAGGCCACTCTCCAGAGTACTCCTGTTCTTATGACCTCAGGGACAGCTCTCCCACCTGCCTCAAGTATTGATGGGAGCATTTCTCCCCCATGCATGCCACCACAAGGCAGATAAATAAAGGGCACAGCTCGCTCTCTCTCCCATGCTCACAAATTCGAGGCTGGCTTACCCACACCTCTGCCAATAGGGTTGGCTCTATTGTGCTGCCTAGGTGAGGTGCAGAGCCTGCTCTCCTGAGTGTTGCAGCTGGTGGGAAATGGGCAGGGAAAGTTCTCCCATCTGCCTCAGACATTGATGGGCACTCAGGGGAGGGAGGAGCAGATTGTCCAGAAGAAACATCAGTGAAAAGAAAAATCAATGAGAGCATAAATGAGGGAGTTTTAGGAAAGCTATAGACTTAGTCAAAACACAACAAAGCCAGGGAAATACTTTATTTATGTAATATACTATTCTCTCCCATATGCCCAATTGCAGACTCAGGAAAGCACAATGCATGACTGGCCAGGGGTTCTTTTCTAATCTGGTTAGGTAAAGACTAGTTAGTGATCCAGAAGGCGCATTTGTGTCCTAAGCCTCCAAATGGGTCTCATGCTGGAAGACATTTGTATTACACAATAATTGATGAAAAACAAATAAGAGGTACTGAAAAAGTTGGAAAAGATGAGACATTATCATAAAAATATGTAAGAATCACCTAGCAGTAGATAGCTGAAGGACAGATATCTTTGACAAAAACATATGACTTTAGGTTTACTAAATACCAGTAATAGCTATATACAAAGTTCCTCTTAAGCCCCCTGCCAGAGTACTACCTAAGGCAATACCATCTCCTCACCTAACTGCTGAGGTCTCAGGCCTCCCAGGGTTTCCCAGCCCCTTGATAAATACCTGCTTATTTTCTACTGTTGTGACTTAAAATACATATCAGAAGGCCCTTGGGCCAACACTAAAAAATTAACTATAAAGAGCACTTCCCTCTATCTCTTGTCATGAAACCATGGTGCCCTTCAACCTTTAAATTTACATATTTATTATTTACTTTAAAAAATTTAATTTTGAGAATATTAATTTTACCATTTTCTCCCTTTTCTTTCCTTCCTCTGAGTCCTCTCATATACCTCTCTCCACTCTTCTTGAAATTCATGGCCTCTTTTTAAATTCATTATTATTGCATGCATATATATCCCTAAATATAACCTGTTTGCTCCACATAACATTACTTGTATGTTTTCAGAGCTGACCATTTGGCACTCAACAACCACGTGGTATGCTCTCCCCCTGGGAGGATTACTTCTGCTCCTAGTTTTCCTCAGTTGCCTATAGTTCTCTGTGTAGAGTTGAGTCCTCATGCACTTCTCCCTGTGCAGTTTAACATGTCCTTTGATGTCATTCTTGTTCAGCTCACATTTAGTCAGTCACACTGTTGAGACTTTATAGGTGTAGCTTCTCACATTTCTAGGAGACAATCTCACAGCAAACTCCCTGATCCTCTGGCTCTTACGATCTTTCCTTCCCCTCTTTCACAATGTTTCCTGAGTGTAAATATGAAAGTTTTTTGTAGATGTATCCACTGGGAGTGGGGTCTATTTGAAGTAAGGGAAGACATATGCTTGTTTGTTTGCAAAGAAAGTATTGGGATAGAACATATCAAACGACAGTGTAAGAAACACAAGATGCCTTAAAAGAAATCAACAGTAAAAGACAAAGTCGATGTAATCATGTCATGTTCAACTCTAGAGAATATATAACTGAAAACTTTGGATACAAGTGACTAAATTCTTCCACTAGTGCAAGAGTAAGGACATAAACTATTTCCATTTCTGAGGTCTCAACACACTTTATAGCTTGATAATGAGTAGCTTTATACAAAATCACAATATTGCCGGGCGGTGGTGGCGCACGCCTTTAATCCCAGCACTCGGGAGGCAGAGCCAGGCGGATCTCTGTGGGTTCAAGGCCAGCCTGGGCTACCAAGTGAGTTCCAGGAAAAGGCGCAAAGCTACACAGAGAAACCCTGTCTCGAAAAACCAAAAAAAAAAAAAAATCACAATATTGTGCTAGATACATTAGCTCAGATTGCAGTTAATGGTGTTCCTGAAGATGGTACTGGAGGTTGTCCTGTGCTGCCCCCCATTTCTCTCTCTCTCTCTCTCTCTCTCTCTCTCTCTCTCTCTCTCTTACTTGATTATTATTAAATTTATAAATAAACGTACAGAGGTTACATTAATATACAGACAACATGCTTTAAAACAGGAAGCTGAACCATTGCAAATTCTGACCAATAGGGATCACAAAGTGCCCAGAAGTGCTCCATCTTGGGAAACTACAGGCAGAAAGTAGAGAAAAGCACCTGTGAAGAGTCTGCTCTTGGAAGCTTCTGCCCAGCACTGTCACAGGCTGCCACAGAGTGGAGCACCCAGATGGCCTGGGAAGGGTTCCTGAGTCCAAGAAAGTGCACAGCATCCTGGGAGGTGTGCTCCACTGAGGAACTGTGATTAAGCATCCCTTACCAATGGGCACCCCAAAGCCTCTGGTACACAGCCTGCCATCTGTGTACCCACGTGCTTCTCTTCTACCTGGCCATAGGGTGTTTAGTGGAAGTCCTTAATTGTGGTCTTAATTTTCCCTCTGATCCAGAAACATGGAATCAGCTTCACCAAACACACATCTTCCACTTGCAACCAGTGTGGCTTGGAGAGAAACATGGAAAATGGCATCAGAAATGCTCACAAATGGCTTCCTCGTCTTCTCTAGCCACAAGGTTGGTTTTGCTTTCTAAGATATTAAAAAATTGCTTTTCTCACTTTATAGTGCAAATGTTTATTAAAATATTAAAAAGAGAATCTTCTTTACTGCAATTAAGAACCAGTGGACCTCAGAACAATTTTTACTTGAGGTAATATTCAAGGGTACCACTGACTGGAGGGCCAGCTTTCAGTAGCCCAGTGTATGCAAAAAAAAAAAAAAAAATCCATAAATGCGGCAAGGGCTAGACTTTTTCTATCTGAAAGGAAAATAAGGAAACACTCTTTCTGATGGTAACTTTCACTTTTACTTTATCTTTAAAAAAATCTCGGGGGGGGGGGGGGTTTAAAAAAAAATCTCTTTCTGAAAATCTGTCTCCATATAGTTACATATCTTTTCACAGAATTACATTCTCCACACAGCTACTACATACCTTCACACTTCTTTACACCACCACATCTCTCTTCACACAGTTACATTCTCCGTACAGCCATATACTTCTTCTACATAGCTATACATATTATCTACACAGCTCTCTTACCATACAGCCACATCTATTCCTTCATACACATCTCTCTACCCCCCCCCCTCATATAGCTACATCTCTTTCTCAGCATGTGCGCACGCACACCCACACCCCCACACAAACATACACACTTCAGCAGGCAAGCTCTGCACAAGTCAGACCCATTCTCATAACACATGGTAAGTCACACAGTTTTCTCAGGCTAGGTAGGTCACTTTGACCAGCCAGTGAGTAACACTTTTGGCCAGTCAGTAACACTTGGCTGTGCACATAGCCTGAGTGGTTAGCACTCCCAGAGAGTGATATGGAAATTCAAGACCTAAGCAACTAAACAATTAGTTGGCTGAACCTTGAGCTTTATATCATTGGGAATACATGCAGAAAGCCAACTACTGCAGGAAAGGTATGTCTTAATGTTGTCAGCCTGACTTTGGTTTAACAGACACTTGGGAACTTGGCCTTGAGCAAATCATCTCCAGGGATAACTTAGTCTATTTTGGATTTGCTCTAAAGTCTAAAATCAGCTAAATGTGTAAAAAGCTGTCTTTTGTAGCTGAGAATACTGTTGCTTTCCTATGTCAGTTAGGAAAAATATCCTAGTATTCTTTCTATTCATCAGATTTATACAGCTTAAGGAGAAATCATTTTCCTGACCATCCACAGCCATATGTGCCCAAAAGATTGATATGTAATCATGAGATTACATATACACATCATATGAGATTACATATTATAGTGCAGGTATTGGGGAGATACCAGAGCTGTTTTTCCACATGTGAAATTACAGACAGAAACAACAGTGTTCAAAGTCTATGGCCCTGTAAGTTTTGCTTGAACAGGGTTCCTCCATCAGAGGATTATTCTTCTGGTGGGTTGACACCTGAACTATCAATTGCCATCTGCTGTATACTCCCAAGGCCTCCAGCACAAGGGCCTGCAACAGGAGAGCTTATTTGGTTGAACTAGAGCCAAGTTGCTGGGTCATAGCCAATGTCCACAGCAGGAAAGAACAATTAGCAACTTGAAGCAATTTTGTGTTTACAGTCATTCAGCAAGCAAAGTTCTGTGTAAATAGGTCCCCTTGCCGCCCTTCTCACCCCAGAGCTGGGAGAGGAACTGGACACTCAAGCTGAGCAGCTCCGGGTGGGAATCAGCTGCAGCCTGGCTATAACCAACTCCCAACTTCCTAGAGTTTCCTTGGCTCTTCGATCCGTTTCCCAGCTCCGAGGCCTCCCCGGCTTCCCTAGCTCTCGGGCGCCTGCCGGTGAGGTGGCAAGAGCAGCTCAGCAGCCGCCCCCCTGAGCTGAGCACAGGTGGTGCGCAGGGTTCCTTCCAAGCCTACCCCAGACCACCCCGGCTCCGCCTCCGCGCAACACCTCCGCGGGGTTCCAGCATCAGGCCATGGTGCGCTGCTTTTGGAGACAACCTTGGGGCTCAATGGTCACCCCCTGCCCTCCTCCAGTCTTCATCGCTCTCCTGGCTCAGGCCCGTGGCGCGGCCCCAAGTCCCCATCCCAGGCCCCTCCGGTCGCGCCAGGCGGCGGCGCTTATCTGGGTCGCGGAGCGGGGTGTCTGGCACCGTCCTGCAGGTAGTAGATGAAATCTTGGCAGCTGTCGTGCTCCAGGGCCCTTCGGGCACAGAGCTCGGCCAGCAGCTGCAGACCAGGCCAGCGGCTGGTCACAGAGAGCGTCTCATGCCCCGGGCATGCCCCACACCCATGCCCCCCCGCCCCTCGTCCCCCGCATCCTCGGACCGCGCCAGGTAGGCGGGCTCAGGAGAAAGCCCTCCGCCCACTACTCGCGGCCGCCCAGGGCGGGGTCCCGGTCAGGATTGCGCGCTGAGGACAAGGGATCGCCTGCTGTCTCAAAGCAGACAAGCCAGCGGGGGGTGACGGGAACAGGGGCACTTGCCCGCCACAGGAGAGCCTGATTATGCTCAGGACCCCAAGCTGCGAGTGATAGTGCCCGGGCTCAGGCAATGGGAGCTGGTAGGCGTGCCAGAACCTCTTGGCACCCCATTCTTCCGCCCAGAGGCAAACCTAGCATGCCCACCCACCCCCACTCCCATCCCTGCCTCTGGAGGCTCGCATGGGTCCAATGCACGTTCTTGGGTGTATGAAGTGAAGGCTTGGAGATGGACCACACCTGCTGAGATCTCAGTACCTTCTTCGAACTTGGAAAGCAGGATCTAAGCAGAAACCTCGGGCCTAAGGACATCACGCGCCCAATTGCGAGGTTTCCAGCGAAGATTTGCCACAAAAGAATGGATGCCCAGCGTGGGTTGATTTGGAGAAGGTGGAGGTAATGATCAGAAATGAGAGCAGATGCATGACCCCCTGGGAAAGACGCTGAGGCTCACCTGGAGCTTCACAGGTCCTGATAGGTTTTTCTAAGCAACTGATTGAAAAGGCAAGGGTTGCCAAGCATTTCCCTAGCACAGGAGACAGAGGATCCAGAGTTTGTGGATGTTTGGAAAGACCTCAGTCACTTCTCATCTACCCATTCCCTTCAGTTTTTTAGGCACTAAGCCCAGGAATAACCACGAATTATTGACCTTGTTTGTGTACACAAGGCACTGTGCCACAGCCTTTTGTATAATTTCATTTAATTCTGTAGATAGCCTTGAACGTGTGTGTTGTGTGTGTGTGTGTGTGTGTGTGTGTGTGTGTGTGTGTGTGTGTGTTACCCATGTTATCCCTCTGAAAAAGCAGACTCAGAAAGGTGCTGCATGCCCAAAATCCTAATAAGGGACTAGTCTTTCTCCCTCTCCCTCCCTCAGGGACTGCTTCCCTCCACCCTCTTCCCTTCTCTCTCCCTCTCTTCCCTCCACCCTCACCCCTCTTACATATTTAGATAATCCTGATGTCAAACATCCTTCTAGGATAATTAGACTAGCAACCCTTAGCCATAAGGTTGCGCTGTCTCTAACAATGTCTCATAGAAAATCTTTTGCACACTAGAGATAATGTAGGATCCCAGAGAATATTTGCTCAATAGACAAAATCTGAAGTTCTGTGGTGAGTGGTGCCTAGGCTTTGTGGAGTTTATATTGGGAGTAATAGAGAAGAGACGGTTGTAGTTATAAAGAGCTGTGAAAAGCAGGTTAGAACCCTTCCTATTTTTTTCTTATTTTCTATATTTATTTTTTCTACTTTGTTTGTTTTGAGACAGGGTTTTTCCTGTGTAGCTTTGAAGCCTATCCTGGAACTCACTTTGTAGAGCAGGCTAAACTCCAACTCACAGAGATCCAACTGCCTCTGGCCTCCGGAGTGCTGGGATTAAAGGCCTGCATCACCACTGCCCAACTTAAAAAGTTTTTAAAAGAAAAAAAATAAGACTTTCTGTCTCAGTTCTACTGTCAGGCAACAGCAGAGAGGGAGAGGGAGAAAGACTAGGTCCCCTAATTAGGATTTTGGGCAAGCAGCACCTTTCTGAGTCTGCTTTTTCAGGGATAACATGGGTAAACACACACACACATACACAGCACACACAAACATGGTGTTGCTGCTGCACATGCTTCTGAAGATGAAGCTTAAGAACTTTTAGTTTGCATCGCTTAGAAAAAGCACCCTTTGGAAAAAGGGACTTGATGGCAGCTATGGCACCCTCTTGGTGATGACATTATAGCTGAGTTCTTAAGCATTTGTTACATACCGTGTACTTTACACGTTACTGCATTTCACCTACATTAGCTCTCCATTTTATATATGAGAAAAGAAGCACAGAAAGGTTTAGTAACTTCTTCAAGTAGCTTAGTCCTGACAGCCAAGATTCACATGGAAGTATGCCTGGCCCCAGAGCCTATATTTTCTTTTTGAGGTGTTGTTGTTTATTTTTGTTTTTATGTGAAAGAGTCTTTTGTGACTGAGGATGGCTTTGGACTTCTGATTCTTCCTCCCTTACTTCCTGGAATGCTGGTCTTACAAGAGTGAGCCACCACACCCAGATAGAACCTGTTTTGTATGCCACACTGTTGCATACAAAACTTTGTACATGGAGGTTCACCTCCAGGGTGAAAGTACCCAGTATCTTTACTCTTCCACTGAGATTTCCAAAGTCTCTTATCAACTTCTTCCTTGCCTACTACATGACTTCATTTGCTGAAAATCCTTTCTGAAATATGGTGCCTTAGCTGAATCCAGCAAGCTAGTGTCAGGCAGCATTTCTGGTGTCACCCAGCATGTGGTGCTGTGCTTTTGGGCTCAAGTTTCTACTTTGCTTCACAGATGGCAGTACCTAGGATGCAGCAGATAAAACACTTTGTGTCCCGTGCATCTTTCATGCTGCTCATTGATGACATCCTGCTACCCATCATGCAGACCCTGTGTAAAACCAGAGGTGATGCCGTGATGAGCTCTCAAAACCCAAATTCCATTCTGGAGGAGTAGTTGTGGGTGCCTAATGACAGAAGTTCCATCAATCATAATTTCTGCTGATTCAGTTCTTTGCTTTATACAAATGAGATCCAGAGCTATCTTCTAATGATTAGCACTGGCCTGAAGTACTCACAACCCTCCTCCTCATTCATTATCACACTTGCAGAAGAGATTTGCAATGTCTTGGAGCTCATGTTCCGTGACACCGGCTTTCTTATCTTGGTCGTTAGTCTCCTTTGAAAGCTGTTAGCTTCATCCTTTCCTGTTTGGGTGAATTTTTCTTGAGATGAAATGGAAGCAGTTGGGAACTTGGTAGCAACCACTGTGTCCATCTGAGTATTCTCATTAGCTATTCTTCCAAGGAATGGATTGTTCTACTATGTTCAAGATACTTATTCCTCCTTCCTCGATTGTGTGAGGTTCTTCTGGGTTTTAGGTTTTATAGCTACAATTTTGTAACTACCATTTCCTTCACTTTAAAGGAAGAAAAAGTCTTACTAGGTCTATCATTTAAAAGCCACACCACTGTAGAGAGAACCATGAGAGGCCTGAGGGCAAAGCACTGGGCCCCAGGCCTGGCACTCCTTTACTGTGTCTTCTCTGTGGTCACACAGGTTTGTATTTGTTCATTTGTTCATACTGAGGCCAAAGAGAGGGCAGAGGGTAGATTTCTGAACCTCATCTCCCTCCAACATCAGATAAAAATTATTTTTTGATATAGGATATAATGAGAAATCCATGGAGTCTGTTTAAAGGGTAAAGGATCTATTAGGGAAAATCTCACTGTACAGAACAGAATTGATACAGGTTCTCGAATGCTGTTCCAGCTGCCTGGATCAGTCCCACATCCAAGTCCCAAGATGGAGTGAAGAGAGTGATGCCTACGTGCATCCAAAGTCATAGGCAGGTGGAGCAGTTACCTGCTGCATCTCTAGGGGTGGTTCTTCAAGGTCATAGACAGAACAGCTACTCACTACAATAGGATCTCATCCAACCCAGGTTGTCCTCAAATTCATTATGCACCAGAAGATGACCTTGAATTTCTAATGGGCCTGACTTCTACAGCTGAGATTATACTCTTATAGTGTCTGATTTATGCTGTACTGGTAAACTAATGCAGGACATCCTGCATACTAGGTAAGAGCTCTATCACACTCCTACCTCCAGGTCCCAAATAAATATTTTTACTTTAAAAATAATTTTTTAAAATGTTTGTATGTATATGCTTGTGTTTTAGAACAGTGCTCATGTTGCCCAAGCTGGCCCCAAAGTTGCTATGTAGCCATAGCCCAGGATAATGTCCTGCCTCTATCTCCCAAGTTCTGGGATTATAAGCATGGTCTACCTTGTCTAGCTTTTCCTATCACATTTATTTATTTTTCTCAATACCAGTGTTTATTTTATAATTTATACTTATTTCTTTTATTTTTATTAAGAAATTTTTTATTCATTTTACATACCAACCATAGATTCCCCTCTCATCCTCCCTCCTACTCCCCCCAGCTTTCCCCCCTGCCCAGCTCATTCCCCATCTCCTCCTCTGAAAAGGTAAGGCCTCCCATGGAGAGTCAGCAAAACCTGGTACATTCAGTTGAGGCATGTCTAAGCCCCTCCCCCTGCATCAAGGCTGTGCAAGGTTTCCCACCATAGGTAATGGGCTCCAAAAAGCCAGTTCACGAACCAGGGATAGATCCTGATCCCACTGCCAGGGGGCTCCTTAAACAGACCTAGCTACACAACTCTCTCACTTATGCAGAGGACCTAGTCCAGACCCATGCAGTCTCCACAGCTGTGTGGAGGCCCAAATTACTCAGGGTCAGAGAATCTGAGCTTGCTTTACATAGCAGGGCTGCATAAGGGGATGATTTGACCACAGGCGTGGTTACCAGGTGTTTGGAAGAGTCTACACTTGGCTGTATGGTGTGCTTTGATCTAGCAAGGGGGAGGTCCTTTGACCCACCCCGTGGCATTGTTATAACAAGCCCTTTTGAATAAACAGAAGAGGCTGTTGTGTATTGACTCAGGTCCTCCTGAGGCTATCCTGTGTTTCCTCTCATTGACTAGGTCTCTCTTTCTACCTAATATTTTCTTATCCCTCTCTCCTCCTCATAGGAATTCTGGAAAAGGTGGGAGCTGGCCTTCCACACAGCTGTTGGTCAAAAGTTCATGAGTTTCCACTAGCTTGGTTTGGTTGTATCTGTAAATTTCCCCATCATGATCTTGATGCCCCTTATTCATAGAACCCTTCTTCCCTCTCTTTGACTGGTTTTCTGGTGCTTAGCTGTGGATCTCTGCATCTGTTTCCATAAGTTAGTTACTGGATGAAGGCTCTATGATGAAACTGAGAAGGTTCTATAAGGCAAAGGACATAGTAAAGAAGACAAAACGACAGCCTACAGAATGGGAAAAGATCTCCACCAACCCCACATCTGATGGAGGCTGATCTCCAAAATATATAAAGAACTCAAGAAACTAGACAGCAAAATACCAAACAATCCAATTTAAAAATGGGCTACAGATCTAAAAAGAGAATTCTCAACAGAAGAATCTCAAAAGGAAGGAAGACATTTAAGGAATTGCTCAACATCCTTAGTCATCAGGGAAATGCAAATCAAAATGACGCTGAGATACCATCTTACACCTGTCAGAATGGCTATATCAAAAAAACTGATGACAGCTAATAGTTGGAGAGCATGTGGAGAAAGAGGAACACTCCTCCACTGTTAGTGGGAGTACAAACTTTTATAGCCACTCTGGAAATCAGTATGGTGACTTCTCAGAAAATTGAGAATCAATCTACTTCAAGACATAAGGATACCACTCTTGGGCATATACCCAAGAGATGCTCAATCATACCACATGGACACTTGCTCAGCTATGTTCATAGCAGCATTATTTGTAATAGCCAGAACATGGAAAGAACCT